ATTTTAATATTATATCCAAGCACTTCAAACATGTTGAAAATCTTATGTAATTTGTATGGCCACAAAAATAAGCAAATGTAGTAAAAGCAGCGTAAGGTCACTTCATGCACTGTATTAGAGATAATTTTGTCCTTTTTGGAAAGTAATATTAAACCATATTTTCGACACGATTGAAGTGCATCCACTTTGATGTGATATTATAATTATTTTTTGCTGTGTATTACCATAGAGGTAACTCTAAGACCAGAAGGTCCCGAAATAACGTGCTCAACTTTTTGGCTCAGCTCTGGTACTCTGTTCGGTCCCAAGCTAATCGATTCACCCCTCGAAATATAGGAAAAACCAATAACCCCTCATTTTATCTGTCAAACTTTTATAGCGAATCAAAACAAACATTGCGTAGTACTAGAATTTCGACTAGAATGGGATACGTTAACCGTTTGCTTAGGACCAATAGGCTAGTCAAGTAGTGAGCCAATTTAAAATTGTTAATTTCGTATTGATTGTTGGTATTACCTTCATGGACGTATTTAAATTTGTTCGCATATTCTGTGTAATACTATAAAACTGCAAGATTCTATGGCATATTTTCAAGATTATTCTGCATTTTTCGTAAAAGATTGAAACCTTGTGAAAAAAACGCAAGATAATTCAAGGAAATTATGCGATGCTAAAATCCGATGCTAATGATTACAATATTTGGTGTTTTTCGGCGTGTTGCATTTTGGGTGAAGTACAATATTACACAACCGATGGAATGACCAATGTACAATTGTTTCGATTTAATATTCAAGTCCTTTTTTGCTGTGTCCGTAACACACAATGATAAATAATTATCAACATGATCCACGGATGTAATGAAGTACAACTAATAATTAGCAATTTTCCCTATCTGGAATTTGAAACAGCTCGAATGAAGTGGTTGATTTATCACACTGAAAACGAAACTAGCTCACAAAGTGAGTCACTTTCACTCAGTTGTGAGCCACTTTTACTCATCCGTTTGGAGAAATTTTTAAAAGTGTATACGTTATGCAGCGCATGTGTAACCTAAGCTTTTTGAAAGTAAAAGTGACTCATTCTCTGAGTTAAATTCGCTTTCAGTGCACACGTCAAGAAAGCTACGATAGCTCGTGTATACACATTGTTACATATTGAAAGGCGAAACATCTGCAATGCAGAAAACACCTGCAATATCAACAATTATCGTTCTGCACGACCGATGAAATTAATTCTATTTTTCTTATATTCAAGCAGATTTTTACTCATTTCCTGTGCGTAGCTTCAAATGCGTAGAAGAAGAACATGACAGTTACGTTCAAGAATGAAAAGAGTGTCACGTTCAGAATGAAAAATAAAGGTTCAACGTATATTTTTCTTTATAACTATTATAAAAAAAAAAAAAAACATTCTTGCTCGTGAGATTGTATCTAAAATAAATAAATTAAAGGGTGTTATTCAAGTAGCAGCTAACATCCACAACTGAAATTTTATATGCCTGCTAATCTATCTGATTTCATAGTACTTCTAAAGCACACCGTATTGCCTGTATCCCAGAGGAACATATTTTTCACTCCTAGCACCATAATTAAATTATGTACAGAAGTAAATAAACGAGCTAGTTATGATGTCATATAATGAGAATCCTGTCCAGAACATTTGAAAAATAACATAAAAATATTATTGTGCGTGTAGGAATTCAAGAAAAAAATAGCATTGATTTTCCACCAGAAAAGCTCAAAACTACCACTCACTCATCTGGTCATATGTCAAAAACTATTTGTTCAAATAGTTTGCCCTTGGAAACACATCAAGTAGAAGGGTTTTCCAAAGTGTGGTGAAAATTTTAGCCAAAAATGTTAAGCAATAAATATCTCGCCCATGGTGAAAATAGGCCATTTTTTGATATTTTGTATATCTGCCGGTAATCAGCCTGTTTACTGTAGTTTCTATGACAAAAACAAAATGTGGGTACATCTATAAGAATCTACATTACAAACCTTCAAATTGACGTTCTAAGATCACGAATAGTTTATTTGGTTGTGGAGTAATCTCTATTGAAAGATGAAATTTAAAAAAAAAATCTTGAAAATCCAGGGTTGTAGCCGAGAAGGATCTAGGCACTTCAAAGCAAAATAAAAAAAAAGGAGTTTGTTCAGAATGCCAAACTAAGCGTTTTGGCCAAGTTTTGCTCAAATCGGTGACATCGACCACAGGTGGTGACCCACTTGAGCTGGAATGACCCATATAAAGTTTATATTTTTTGTGGGCCAACTCCCATATTAGTGGGTGTAGGTGGGTGAAAGAGGTGAAAAATCCACTCTCTGAGTTTCAGCTCATTTGGTTGTAACAAAATTAGGCGTTTTTAATTTGAATATTTCTGGGTTGGACTAAAAAAAAGGAACATGCATAAATGACGTAGGATTTTATGGTGACCAGCAAAAAAACACTACATGGAGGAAGGAGTCCAAAGTTGGTGCTTCAGCAAACTAAAAAATGAACCTTCAACGTTTGTTTACGATTCATGAAGCATCAACTTTGGTCTTCCTATTCATTGCAGCGCATTTTTCTACATAGCTGGTCACCCTACAATGCTACGTCATTTATACATCTTCCCTAAGTGAAACATAAATAAAAAGGCATAACTTTGAATCGAAAAGATATTTAAGATTAGCTGTAATCGCACAACGATGCGCAATAATGCGCACTACTTCCAACCAGGGCATGGAAAATCATTTACATTCATTTCATGCATTCATTTACATTCATTTGCCTCTATCTTTTTTCATCAACAGCATTCCGCAAAATGTTTTAAAGAGCTTTTGTAGGTTTTGTTATTAGCTACAACTTTTGCCTTTTACTCAAATCTGTATCTTTTATGCATCACGAACTATAGTGGGCAAAACTTGTTACTGTTTTTCAATGAATAAAAAATACATTCACTGAAAAACAGTAGTGGCTTCTGTTTGCTCTGGTTCATCATGCCTAAGAGATACGGATTTGAATTTTCACAAAAGTTGTAGCTAATAACAAAACCTACAAAAGCTCTATACATTATTTGGCGGAATTCTGTTGATGTAAAAAGTTAGGAGCAAATGAATGTAAATGAATGCACGAAATGAATGTAAATGATTTTCCATGCCTGCTTCCAACACTATGTATAACGTATAGAATAAGAGTAAAATCGATTTTCGCTAGTGGGTTATTCCAGTTTTCAACTGTAGTGACAATATGTTAGTGACAAAAACCAAAAAGTATCAATCTAAAACCTTTTTCCGATTCAAATTTCTGCCTTTTTAATTTTATCGCTTATTTGGGCCAACCCTGTAATATTAAAATTAAAAGCGCCTAATTGTGTTGGAGCCAAATGAGCTGAAAAGTTCAGAGAGTGGATTTTTCACCTAAAGGCACTAAGGTCTGGGAGTTGGCCCACAGAAAATATAAACTTTTATTTTTCTGGGTCAGACTAGTGTCTCAAGGAGTTGCACAAAGTATGGTGTCAGCTTGGTAGATGTTTCCAACGACAAACCGTTTGTAAATGTTTGTTGCATTCTTAACCATCGTAGATTAAGCTGGGGTAATACGCGCCACGGAGTAATATGGCCAACAGTGTTTTTTTGTTCCCGTACTATTCACAGACTAATTAATATAAATTAGTATAAAAATTTGACATGCATTGCTGTAAGAATTTTCAAAATCCAATTAAGTGTTCGTAAGATTCTGCTTGGAAAGCTCAACACATAATTTTCCAGCACGTTTTCAAGAACTGATTGTGCTGGTATTGTTAGATGTTAAATATTTTCCTTATGTTTAATTAAAATACCGTTAGAATCGTGCATCGTGCATGTGACATGAAGCGATAGGCACTAAGGCATGTTTAAAAGATGCTATGATTAGCAAAAGATTTCATCAAATTTAGTAATCTTTACGAAGTTGATTAACTCCCATTGGTAATCTATGCTGGAATTTGTATTACTGTTGCAATACATGTATTAAGCACGTTAAATTTATAGAAAAATATTTTCAATAATTGGATCGCATTTGTATTCATCGTCTTTGGTCATTGGCCATGTAGATAATGGCGTAAAATATGCAACTATTGTGTATGTGTCAAGTTTTCAACAAGCCTGCTAATTGCCGTTTTTGCAATACAAGTCGTACATCAGGCTAATATAATGTTAAGAAGCCCATATTAACCTAATATTGCAAAAAAGGTGTTTAGCGGCAGTTACTTGGGGTTTTCCTTCTCTGGTTGACTTGCTCAATAAAATCAATTATAAAACTGGTATCGTAATTATGATCAATCATCTAAAAGAGAGAGTTCTTCTTACTGAAAAATCAAAGATGTAGCGTTATTATTTCAGAATGTGTGTCAATAGCATTTTAAATCAATTAATGCGTGATATATTCGAAACACTTATGATAAGTATAGGTTTTACGAATATTAAATTACACAATTATACTGTGTGACCAACCGGAATTTTGTTTTCTAGGACAGAAAACTCTATCCATATACGACTATATTGTGGTTGATAGATTAATTTTAATGCCTGCTAAAATGAGGTTTGTGTATTCGTATAGCAAACTCCCCTAAAAAAATTGGGAATGTATCGCAAAATTCTGTATAACACAGAAAAACTCCACAGCATTTCATCAAATAATACCCAAAGGTATCAGCTTTTTAGTCTAATTTAATAAATAATTTAATTCATTCGATATTGATTTGAAATTGTGTATGGAAATATCCCATTATCTGTAATGGATAAAAACACATGTAAACAAAATTGGGAAAGTAAATAGTAATGCAAAAGCAAGAAGCATATAGAAAAGCTATTCGTTATAATAGTTCCGCAAGACAGAACTTCAATTTAATATAAAACAAGGAAGTAAATTGGCGCTTAAAATTCATGGTTTAAATTTTCAATCCTTTTCACTAAATGGTTTGGATTCCGAATAAATCTTTGTAACATACTTACGGAAAAAGGATATTCAATACTTACTGGTGTTGTTGGTATTGGAGTCGACGGCGTCACTTCGCATCCCCATGAAATATCACACTCTCCTATTTCTGGATTAAATTCCAATCCTTCAGGACATTCGATCGTACATGCTTGACCACTAAAACATTTCTTATATGCATCACATCTTTCGGGGTGAGGGAACCGAATAGGATTATCAGGATCGTCAATCGGTGGGCAGAGTTCACTGGGTACACAGTTGTACTCGGGACAATCAGGTATTACGACATCGTCACATTCAGATCGATATCGTTCGACACAGCGCCCGAGGAAGGTGCTCCAGTATAAGCCAGGCGCGCAGTATTCGAAGCAAGCGCACCCCGCTCTGCAGCGAAGGAATGCATCACATCTGCTAGGGTGTGGAAGTACAGTTGAGTGCAGGTCTGGATAGCAATCAATAGGACAGCGATTATCTGGAATACAATTTGCTGGGCAGCTTCCATCCCCTGGTGGTATAATTGGTCCTGGAGTATCTTGCCCCACACAATCAACGAACTGCGGCCAATTGCATACTAGTCGTTTCGGACAGAAGTGTAAGTTTGCTGGACACTCGAACAGAATTGGACCAGAAGGAGAACAGTGGTAGAACATGTTACAATAGTCTGGATGCGACAGCTTGGCTCCCAATGGATGCTCGTTACAAGTTGCAATCGTTACAAGAGTTCCTGGTGCAGACTCAAACATTCTTTGTTCTGCAAAGAATTTTTCGTCGACCTCATGATCTACCACGCATTCTGCGTACATTGAAAAATCGCACACCAGTGTTTCTGGATTGAAATAACTTCGTTCTGGACACTGGAAAACTATTGTATTAGATTCTCCACATTCGACAAACTTCCGACAGTCGGACCAATGTTTTCGAATAGTAGCATTTCCGCAAATTCCAGCAGCATTAACCAAGTTTTGCAAACATATTGTTAAGGCAATGGCACCCCACACCTTATGTATTAACATGTCTTCTTCCGCTTCCTATCTATCCGATTGTATCTCGCGTTTCTATCAATCGTATGCTCTTGGTCTCACTTATTCAATTGACCGCCAGTTTTTCTACTACTGTTGACGGTGGGGGACAATTGCTTTTATAGAAAATTAAAAGTGATTGCCTAGAAATGTTGTGATAAAGGAAAAGATATAATTAAAAATTGTAGACTGTCAAAACCCTCTTGACATGTGCAGTTTTTAATTACGTCACATTTATTCTATCATCACATAATAAATAATGCTGACTCACAAAGTCATACCATTCCATCCACATTTTAAATAGGATTTTGTTTAGTATCCTGCTAAATAAAGTGTGATATACTGCACAATTAGAATGCCATGCAATTTTCATACACTGACATGCAGTACAAGTAGATATGACAGAAATCTTGTCCATATGTCATCAGAAATTGATAACCGAGCAACTAATCGGACTCGTTCCGGAATGAAATCAGATTTCTTGATCTTTGTTTTTTTTTCTGGAACAAACGTACAGTTCAAGATTCACAAGACCACTTTAACTTTTCTCGTACCCTTAGGTGTTTCGAAAGGCTTTGGAGTACATGGGTCCACGCCAAATGACGAATCGACCTTCTCCGATTTGTATGAAACATTGCATAATTGTTTGTTATGGGAATGTTCTAGGATTTTTATTGTTTTTGGAGTGTCCAACTTGGTAATTACACAAATGTGAATTTTTTCGTATACTTTTTCATACAAATATGGTTATACATATCGATTCGAGAACAGACGTTCGATCCGAGGCCGAGGGTCAAATACCAATTGACTACGAGATCGAACATGTCTGTGTGTGTATATGTGTGTGTGACGAAACAATTTCTATGTAATGTGTCTCGTTAACCACTGAACCGAAATCCACAAAAGGTTTCATGGTCCCATAGTTTTTTTTATGGAATCAGTCAAATAGTTTCGTAAATACGAACGGAACATGATCCAAAATACACTAGTGGAAATAAATATAAAGACACATAAAAAAGCATGGCGCCTACCAAATATAAGAATCAGAGGAATTCTAAACCATGTATTTTTGGAAGCCACATTATCATGCTACAATATCACCCATAGAAATAACCAATTGCATCATGTACTCAGGGGAAATAAATGGAAATGTGATTTTCTCCTTCAGAAATAAATATAAGGACGCCATACAAAAATGTATGGGAAATGGGTCATTTTCGAAACATTACTAAGCATGTCAACAATTCTTGTAGCACCAAAATAACCAAAGAGTTAGTTGAAGTAATAATTAAACTTAATTTCTGAAACGTTTTAAGCAGATCCAATCGCTAGAAGTTATCGAAAATTACAAAAAATCATTGGTTGATCAGCGATGATTAATTAGGTGATACATACATTTAGGCGTTTTCCGAGTTAGAATGTGTCTTGAGATGTTCAAACAAATTAATAGGAAGATGACCTGTGTTTATTTAGTTACACTAAAACTGATATCTAGTAAAAGTGAGGAGGTGACGGGCCTACGCGCTCTTCCCATCTTCCTATTAATTCTAATTCTAACTCGGAAAACGCCTAAATGTATGTAGCTCCTAATTGATCATCGCTGATCAACCAATGATTTTTGTGATTTTCGAGAACTTCTAGCGATTGGATCTGCTTAGAATGTTTCAGAAATTAAGTTTAATTATTATTTTAACTAACTCTTTGGTTATTTTTGGTGCTACAAGAATTGTTGACATGCTTAGTAATGTTTCGAAAATGACCAATTTCCCATACATTTTTGTATGGCGTCCTTATATTTATTTCCGAAGGAGAAAACCACATTTCCATTTATTTCCCCTGCGTACATGATGCAATTGGTTATTTCTATGGGTGATATTGTAGCATGATAATGTGGCTTCCAAAAATACATGGTTTAGAATTCCTCTGATTCTTATATTTGGTAGGCGCCATGCTTTTTTATGTGTCTTTATATTTATTTCCGGGAGTGTACACCGATTTACGGAACTAAGTCGTCTTTCTCGGCTATGACTGAACCGAATTGGACGCAACAACGACCAAATGGAAAATATAGAATATTATTGGAATCCATCAACTGGTTCCGGAGGTATGGCCGGAACATGCTTTGGTGAATACGGATCGTGAATCAATAATCGGCCTTAATCGTTTTAAACCCATCATGTGTCACCTCAAATAACATGAATATGCAAAAAGAAGATCAATGAAGGTCATATTGAGCCTTCAGGACCAAATTGGCCACATGCGAACATGTTCCGTGTACCCCAGAGCAGGGTTGCTTCCAGTCATTTGTTATAAAAAATATTTTTCGGAATTATGAAATCATTAGAACCGAAAATAATAATTAGTACTAGTAAGTTACACGAAAAGCTTGTAAGCAAGGTATTTGAAAGATAAAACATGTCATTATTAATTTCAGTACGAACGCTCACGAGTCATAAATTCGCTGATTGTGACGAAATTGCGAAAGCGAAATTGACAGGTTTTATGAATCAAATACACACTTTACAACCTCTTGTTGTATCTGACAAGTACAACATATCATTATAGAATCTAATCGCGGATCTATTTGCTTTTTGCTTAAGGAAGTGTTACTACTACCTGAAGCTACAACAAATTTAAACAGCACTTTTCAGTGCGCAACCTGTAAAATTTCTACCTTGTTCAACTCTTATTCCTCTTCGATCCTTGTTTTGACCCTACCCGAGGTAATCCTTCTTGGATATCGATTTGGAAAATTCCTCTTCGATCCTTCAGATTCTTATAGTAATCTGCTTGGAAGTCGATTTGGATAAAAAATTTACTGTCGCCATGGCGGCTAAACGCAAAAGAAAGGGGCAAACTCTTGACCCCCCTTCTGAAGAAATTAATTTGAGTAATCAATTTGATTTGCTCACGGATGATGAGAATGATCCATCATCCAGGAAAAAATCTAGTAAACTTTCCCGGCTTAATGCCAAGAAGGAAAAGATTCCTCCTATTGTGATAGCCACCTCCGATTTCCATGCTCTTCGCATGGAACTTTTGAACTTCGTGAAGGTTAAGTTTTCACTACAAATTGGACGTCAGTGTGAATGCCGTGTATTGGCTGAAACCTTGGACGGATTTAAATGTCTTCTCAAGTATCTTACTGAGAAGCAGCACAATTTTTTTACTTACGACACCAAAACTGAACGTGTGTTCAAGGTTGTCATGAAAGGACTGCCCAGTGGTGAATCCCTGGATCAGATCAAAGATGAACTGGCAAAATTACTTGGAGTTGTGTCACTCCAAGTAATCAAAATGAAAATGAAATCCCGTCCTGGCGATTCGCGCAACGGCTTTCTAATGATTTTTATTTAGTTCACTTCAAGTCTAGTGAACTAAACAACCTTAAGGCCTTAGAAAAAACTAGCCTTATGCTCCATGTTCGAGTGAAGTGGGAACACTTCAGGAAGACTGGAGGAAATTTCCAAAACCTCATCCAGTGCCGTAAGTGCCAGGGATGGGGTCATGGAACTAAAAATTGCTACATGCCAGCTAAATGTATGAATTGTGGTGATTCCTCTTACGCAAAGACGACTGTCCTGTGAAGGAAGATCCTAAGAAATTTAAATGTTCAAATTGTGGTGAAAACCACAAATCCAATTTTTTGGAATGTAAAACTCGCAAAGTGATCCTACAATCTCGTTCGCTGCACAAATGCCTCTGCTGTTAACAACGGTCAGCGAGGAACAAATTCTACATTCGTACTCGTAGGTACAAATATCACCCCTGCTTCATATTCTTCATCTATACCTACTCCCCTCGCTGCTAACAATGTTCAGCGAGTAAGTGGAGCTACCTATGCTGCTAGTACAATGGATAGAAATCAAAATACTAACCAACGGAAATTTTGACAATTTTGACTTAGGAAGCATTACTGCCCCTAAAATGGAATTTTTACAGAATTCATTAATTGATATGATTTCTGATATGCTTAAATCTAACTCCATGTTTGATGCTATTCAAACTGGAGTAAAATTTGTCATGACTTTGAAATTCAGTAATGGATTTTGAATCATTAAATATTTTAAATTGGAATGCTCGATCTCTTAAAGATAATGAAGACGAGCTATTCAACTTTTTGAGAGTTCATAACGTGCATATTGCCATTATAACTGAAACGTTCCTTAAACCTGACCATAAGGTCAAGAAGGACTCAAATTATTTAATTTATAGAAATGATCGTCTTGATGGACCCTCTGGTGGCGTTGCCATCATTTTTCATAGACCAATCAAACATAAAATTCTTTCTTCATTTGAAACCAAAGTTTTTGAAACTTTGGGAGTTTCTGTTGAAACTAAATTTGGACAACTTACGTTCATAGCTGCCTATTTGCCATTCCAATGTGTAGGCCAGCAAAAGAATTTTCTCAAGGGTGACCTTCAGAAACTTACTCGTCATAGGTCTAAATGCAAAACACCGCTCATGGAATAATGCTCAAAGCAATTCCAATGGTAATATTCTGTTTGATGATTGTTCTGTAGGTTATTACACTATTCAATATCCAAACAGCCCAACATGCTATTCTTCAGTAAGAAATCCCTCATATCGAACATTTATGGAATATAACTTCGATCCAAACATTCCTTTGCAAACCAAAGATGAAATTAATTATGCTCTTGAATCTCTGACTTCTTCTATAGATGAAGCAAGAGCTGCCTCAATACCAAAATGCGAGGTTAAATTCGATTCAATTATAATAGACGACGATCTTCAGCTATTGATCCGTCTTAAAAATGTCCGTGGGAGACAATATCAAAGAACACGCGATCCTGCCATGAAAGTTATCTGGCGGGATTAACAAAAACAAATTAAAAAGCGATTCTCTGTCCTGAGGAACAACACTTTTGAAAATAATGTTTCTAAATTAGACCCGAGTTCCAAACCCTTTTGGAAACTCACAAAATTTTTGAAAAAACCTCAAAAGCCTATTCCAACGCTTAAAGAAGGTGGTAAAATTTTGATCACAAATTTGAAAAAAGCTCAGAAACTTGCTAAGCAATTCAAGAGTTCCCATAATTTCAGTTTGGCTCTTACTAGTCCTATTGAGAATCAGGTTGCTC